TCATGGCCTCTCACCCCATCAAGAGCACAGCTTTTAAAGAGTGCTTCGGGGTCTCCCACACGGTGCAGGGGCCCGGGACCCGACCTGGATCGGAACCGCAGCGAGCCGGGCTGGAACCAGCCCCTAAAAATAATGCTGTAAAAGACCTAAAAGAAGCTGGCGCCGCGGCTCACTATGCTAATCCTCCGCCTTGCGGCGCCGGCACACCGGGTTCCAGTCCCGGTCGGGTGTCCGATTCTTTCCCGGTTGCCCCTCTTCCAGGCCAGCTCTCTGCTGTGGCCAGGGAGTGCAGTGGAGGATGGCCCAAGTGCTTGGGCCCTGCACCCCATGGGAGACCAGGAGAAGCACCTGGCTCCTGCCATCGGATCAGCGCGGTGCGCCGGCCGCCATTGGAGGGTGAACCAACGGCAAAGGAAGACCTTTCTCTCTGTCTCTCACTGTCCACTCTGCCTGTCAAAAAAAAAAAAAAAAAAAAGACCTAAAAGAAAACCTAAGTAAGAAATAATGCGTACTCTTGGGTGCAGACTGCGCTATTTGAGGGATGTAAACCCCCAAGTTGTTACGCAGAGGTGGCATAACTCCGCGGGAATCCCAATGCATGTTTTCAGGGACTCGGTTCTCGGATTTCATTGGAAGAACAAGAGCATGGAGTGTTCCCGAAACTGGAGGGAAAGAGGGGCGGGGCCTTCTCCCCCAGGCCAGGAAGAGCCCTAGGTCTGGGGGAGGGGCGGCCGGGTGCCCGCCTCTGAACAAAGCCCCCAGACACAGCCCTGTGTCCAGAGAGGAGCGGGTGGGGCTGGGGGCCGAGCGCATGTCCCAGGGGAGGCAGCCAGCTCTCCACAGGCGACACTCCCCTCCTCTCTCTCTCTCTCTCTCTCTCACACACACACACACACACACACGCAGGCGGCTCCCGGGTGGCCCCGAAGCCAGCAGCCCAGAGGGTGCCCAGTGACCTCACCCGCGTTCCTCACGCATGTCCCCAGGCTGCAGACAACAGTGCAGAAGACAGAGCCACCCAGACTCACGAACCACCCCGGCTCCAGGGCACGGACGGCGCTGGCCAGTGGCAGGCTCTGGCAGGCTCGGGGTGGGGCCCCCAGCCCTCACAGGGGACAGGGAGAAACCCTCCCACCCTGGCAGCGACTCCAGAATCTAAAGCCGCCAGGGTGGGCGCGAGCCCCAGCAGGCTCAGCGCTGCTCGTGCGCCCCTCCCACACCCAAACGCCGGTCCCACGGCTCCCTGCTATGCACCTGGAAAGGCATCAGGTGCTGGCCCGAGTGCTGGGGTCCTGGCTTCCACCTGGCCCCGCCCAGAGTGTGCAGCACGGTCACGGGTGCCGCCGAGGGCCAACGGAGCACGGCGTGGCTTTGCCTGTGAAGCTGAGCACGCACACGGCTCCCGCACGCACACGCCTGCAGCCAGACCCCGCCCCCCAGCTTGGCTGCACTCACGCGATGGAAACCACAGGCGCTGAGACACACCATTGTGCGCCCTGGGCTGTGAGCTCGCCAGGCCATGACCTCGGCACCGGGAAGGCACTGGACGGCGGCCACCTGGCCTGCACCCCTTGAGACCCACGAGGGGGATCCGTCCGGGGTCCCGACTCCCAGCTTCCCCCCGGCCCCGCCCTGGCTGTTGGGGGCATTTGGAGAGTGACCGGCGGTGGCAGGTCTCCGCCCCCCCCCAAGCACGAGCACACAGAAATGACCTTTCAGAGGTCAGTTGAGAGCATTTCCAGGACAACACCCAGTAGAAAACAAAAAGCCGGGAAAGCGCGAGATGCATCACCGTCGGGCGATAAAACGCTGGGGAGCGGCAGACACCAGACCCGGGCACGCCCGCCGCGGGGAGGGGCAGCGGGCCGCCCAGGAGGGCTCGGACGCCCAGCCCTGGCGCTGCTTCTCCCAGCAGCGCCCAGGCCAGCGGGACGCCGGGAGCGCCCTGCACGCACGGGCCTGCCTCCGCCTCCTGCAAGTGCCGGGCGGGGCCCTGAGGGCAGAGGAGGAGCTGAGTGATGGAGGCTGCGCCCCGGCGGGGGAGGGGGCAGCAGCCTCGCACACGCCTGCGCCCTCACACACCTGTGTGCACCCACGTTCCCCTGCCGGCCGGATGCGCTCCCTGGAGCCGCCCAGGCTGGGGCTACCCCAGCTCCCCTCTCGGGGCGCCCGGCCACAGAGGGGCTCCCCCCCCCGGCCACAGAGGGCCCCCCCAGAGCTCAGCTCCCTGACCCCGGCAGCCTTCTCAGCAAGCCCAGCTGGGCATTCAGCCAGGGACTTCTCCCCCAGGGCAGGGCTGGACCGGCCTTGTCCTCTGTCCAAGGACAGGCAGAGCAGCAGGAAGCGGGGCCTGGGAGCAGGAGGTGGGGCGGAACCCAGGCCTGGAGCGCTGGGCCGGCCACACCAGGGGCTCTGGAGCCCGCCCCTCCCTTCCCGGCCCTCAGCTGGAAGAAAGACGCCTTTGGTGGGCCGGCGACACCAGACCCTCGGGCCGGGCAGCAGTCCCAGGCGATTGGCACTGCCCCATCCAAGGCGCCCTTTCGGCCGCGGCGCCGCCCGCCTCGCCCGCCTTGGTGGTCTGGCCTCACAGCCCTGGGGTCTGCCTGGCGTTCCTTGTGCTGGAATGTCCATTTTGCCCATGCCCAGGGTGCATGGCGCAGAGACCCCCGGTTTGCTGGGAGGAAAGGAGGGCTTAGATCTGCGGCAGCCCCAGCCTGCTCTGAGCCTCTGCGACCCCCCCCTCCTGCTCCCTCCACTCGAAGCAAAGCCGGCAGCAGGGGCGGCCAAGGCCCGGAGCCAGGCCATGGGGGCTTGGGGTGACCAGGGCCAAGCCCGCCCGCCCCCGCTGTGTGCACTCCCTAGGGCGGCCCTTCACCGATGAGGCTCTGCGTACAGCGCCCAGCACTTCAAGGTCGGGTCCAGCCAGGGTCCAGCCCGGGTCGGCTCGGGAGAGCCGGCCTGCTGCGGCCCCCAGCCACACGGCACTTCCTTCCCAGGCCAAGAAAACGAGTGACCCTCCGAGGAGCCTGGGGCCTCGCGCCCCTCCCCAGGGCGGGGCGGACGCTTATCAGCGCTGAACAGGTCGGGAGGGGGCTGGTGGGGGACTGGTGCGGGAAGAGGCTGGGACTCAGCCGCGTCTCCCACCTGCGAGCCCCGAGCGGGGCGGGGCGGGGCGGGGCGGTGGGGCGGGGCTGCCTTGGCCCCGCCCCGGGCGTCTACCCCGCGGTCCCGGGCGCGGGCCGCCTCCGCAGCCCCCAGCTCGCGGCTCTGCGCTCCCGTGCGCCCGCCCATGGCCAAGAAGGTGCTGCCGCTGCTGCTGCCGCCGCTGGTGCTGGCGGCGCTGGGCCTCGCCGGCCTTCCTGCTGCTGTACCTGCCCACCCGCGACGTCCGGGAGCCGCCGGCCTTCAAGGTGCACGCGGGGAGCCGGCCCGGGCCCTGGGCATGGGCGGCCGCGGGTCCGCCGGGGACCCCCGTCAGCGCCTTAGGGCAGAGGCCGGGCTGGGTGGGGTCCTGGGTCTCCTGCACTCTGCTCCCGTCCACGCCCACGGGAGCGGCGCCGGGCGGGAGGCCGAAGTCCCGGGAACCGGGAACCCCACGCACAACGTCGACGCGGCCCTGGGATGGGGGCACAGGAGCCGGGCCCCCAGGGACCCTCCCCGCCTCCCCGGGCCGGCTGCTTTAACCCATTCTTGGGCCTGTGCAGAGTGTGTGTGAGCAATGTGGAGGTGGGAGCCCCAAGAACCCAGGATGGGAAGTCCAGAGCAGGGCTCTCTGGAGTGATGGACGCAGGGGGTAGGGTCCAGCTGCAGTGGGCCGTGGGCCCTGGGGAAGCCCCGGAGGAGTGCTTCCCACTGTGGAGTTGGCCCCTGGCCCGCGTGCAGCCTGGCTCCCTCCCTGGAGTCCTAGCCCTAGGGGGCACCCGCTGGAGCCCAGCACCCACCAGCCTGCCCAGTCTGCAGGAGGGTCCATCCGGCGCCCCGTGGTGGGCTCAAAAGCACCAGCCTCTCTGGCCCGGCTCAGCGGTGGAGGGAGGGGGCATCTCCACGCCGGGTGTGAATCCAGGGTCCTCAGGGCAGGGGCTCAGTGCTCTGCTCCCCGCTCCGCCAGGCCAAGCTGTGCGGCACTGTGGTCACTTCAGGCCTTCTCTGGGCTCCGGTGTGAGAGGCGGGTGGCGAGCTGGGGGCCCCGGGCTGACTCCCACCCCCACCGCAGTACGGCATCGTCCTGGACGCCGGCTCCTCCCACACGTCCATGTTTGTGTACAAGTGGCCGGCGGATAAGGAGAACGACACGGGCATCGTGAGTGAGCACAGCTCCTGCCACGTTCGAGGTGAAGCCCCCAGGACACGCCCCAGCCTGGACTCCACTCCCGGGCCTCCGGCCGCCCCATGCTTGGTGCTGGTGGGCTCCTGGTGGGGCCCAGTGAGGCAGGATGCACCCTTATTCCACAAAAGAAGCCCAGGCGGCAGGTGGGAGGTTGGGCCCCCCCAGGCCCAACACTGGCCTCCGCCCTCCCCCAGCGTAGCAGCAGGGGCTGTTGGGATCTGAGTGCTTTGTCCTGGCACCTGTGCCCACACCCACCAGGCAGGCGGCCGCTCAGAGACTGGGCGGCACCTGGGCCCCTTTTGTCTCCACGCTGGTTTCTCCGAGGGCTTTGGCTGGGTCAGCGTGTCCAAACCACCACCTGGCTCAGGAGCCCGGGACACCCAGCCCTGCTGGCCTCCAGCCCACCCAGGGGCCACCCACCAGGCACGGCCCCCCGTCTGCCTCCCTCTAGGTGGAGGAATCTCCAGCTACGCGGACAACCCGTCCGGGGCTGGCCAGAGCCTGGTCGAATGCCTTGAGCAGGCGCTCCGAGATGTGCCCAGAGACAGCCACGTGGGCACGCCCCTCTACCTGGGCGCCACAGCGGGCATGCGGCTACTCAAGTGAGTGTCCCCACCCGCCCGCCCCGGGCTGGGCAGACCCCAGCGCAGGAGCGGGCCCTCAGACCCCTGCATCTCACAGCCTGCGCAGCCCGGAGGCGGCTGACGCCGTGCTCGCAGCCGTGGAGCGGAAGCTGGCCCAGTACCCCTTCGACTTCCGCGGGGCACGCATCCTCTCCGGCCAGGACGAGGGGGTGTTTGGCTGGGTGACCGCCAACTACCTCCTGGAGAACTTCATCAAGGTGGGCGGGCAGCAGCCGGGCCGGTGCAGCTCCGGGCGCTCCGCCCCGGCCGCTGGCTGAGCCGACCCGTGCCCTCTGCAGTACAGCTGGGTGGGCCGGTGGTTCCGGCCCCGGAAGGGGACGCTGGGGGCCATGGACCTGGGAGGGGCCTCCACACAGATCACCTTCGAGACGTCCAGCCCCGTGGAGGACCCAGCCAACGAGGTGCACCTGCAGCTCTACGGCCAGCACTACCGTGTCTACACCCACAGCTTCCTCTGCTACGGCCAGGACGAGGTCCTCCAGAAGCTGCTGGCCAGTGCCCTCCAGGTGCCCGCCTAGGCTGCACCGTCCCTGGCAGCCACGCTGTGGAGGGAGGCGGCGAGGACGGACAGGGAGGGGCCCAGCAGGAGCAAGCGCCCCGTGGCGGGGGCTGCCATCAGGGAGTGAGGAGCCCTGGGCGGCTCTGAGCACCCACGTGGCACTGCCTCCATGGGGCCGGCCAGCGGGAGCCCCTCGTGGAGGGCGCTGGTGCCACCTGCCCACTGGTCGACCCCCAGACCCACAGGACCCACCCCTGCTGGCCCAGGAATTACTCCGCCGAAGTACAGCTCCGGGACGTGTACCAGTCGCCGTGCGTCGGACAGCCCCAGGCCCTCAACGGCAGTGACCGGGTGGTCCTGCAGGGCTCCAGGCGACCCCGACCTCTGCCGAGCCCTGGTCTCCCAGCTCTTCAACGTCTCCACCTGCGGCTTCTCCCGGTGCTCCTTCGATGGGGTCTTCCAGCCCCCTCTGGCTGGGAGCTTTATCGTGAGTCGGGACAGGCGGGGCTGGTGGGCTGCTGTCCTGATGCATGGCCCGGACTGTGGCCACGGTGTGACCGCCCCCCCCCCCCGTAGGCCTTCTCTGCTTTCTACCACACGGTGGAGTTCCTGAGGACCAAGATGGGGCTGCCGGTGGCCACGCTGCAGCAGCTGGACGTGGCCGTGGAGACCACCTGCAAGCAGACCTGGGCAGAGGTGAGGCCCGCGAGGGTCAGCCCCAGGCAGGGAGGGCCCAGGCCTCTGGTGCCACTGTGGTGGAGGCCGTGGCCCTGGTCCCGGGGGTCTGGGAGCCAGACAAGCCCCGCTCAGGGCAGCTCCCCTACAGCCGGGATCTGCAGCGCGCGGTCCCGTGGCGGCGGGGAGCTGGGGGTCGGGAGTGGGGACAGCCGCCCCTGCTGCCACCCCCAGCGGAGGGGCGCGGCGGGCCCGCGGCCTCACGGTCTCCCGGGCGCCTCTAGCTGCAGGCTCGGGCGCCCGGGCAGCTGGACCGCCTGGCCAACTCCTGCGCGGCAGCCACGTTCGTGCAGCAGCTGCTGAGCCGCGGCTACGGCTTCGACGAGCGCACCTTCGGCGGCCTGACGTTCCAGAAGCAGGTGCGCGCCGGTGCAGGCGTGCGGGGGTGCAGGCGTGCGGGGTCGGGTCGGGGCGAGGCGGGGCGGGGCCTCCGGGAGCTGAGGCCGCGCCCCCGCCCGCAGGCCGCGGACACAGCGGTGGGCTGGGCGCTCGGCTACATGCTGAACCTGACCAACCTGGTGCCCTCCGACCCGCCGGGACTGCGCAAGGGCCTGCAGCGCGGCGCCTGGCTCGTCGTCCTCCTGCTCTTCGCCGCCTTGCTCCTGGCCGCGCTGGCGCTGGGGCTGCGCCAGGTGCGCTCCGCCAAGGCGCAGCGCGCCATCTAGCGGCGGCCGGGCGCAAGGCAGCCCGCGGAACCCCGGCCCGCACCCGCAGGGCGCCGCTGCGGCCCCTCCGTGGCCGGGCTGGCCTTAGGCCTGGGGAGGGGCTGGGGCTCCGGAGCCCTGGGAGCCCCCCTTCCGCTGGGCCTTTGCGGTGGGAGGGGGCTGGCGGCTCCCCTCCTCTTGTTAGGATTTGGTAATAAAATAGTTTTCCCCAAGCAGCGAGGGCAGTGTTTCTGGGGTGGGGCAGTGCTGCTGTCGCTCCCCGCTCCGCTCCTCCAGCTGTGCCGGGCCCCAGGCCTGCCCCTGGTCCCCGGGGATGAAGCCTTGCCTCTTCCCACCTCCTTCCTCTCCCGACACAGACCGGGGCCAGTGCTCAGTGCTGGCCATGCCCCCGCCGTCCCCAGACCCATCTCGGTGACCTAGGCTGGCCCTTGGGGTGGGCGCGGGCAGGTGTCCGAGGAGGGAGGCAGCGGGCAAGGCAGGTGCCTGGAGTCTGATCAGAGTCTGGGCTGAGGGCAGGCCCTGCTCAGGAACCAGTGGGGGTGGGGCGAGTGAGATCAGGCTCCGAGGGGCCCCACCCCACAGAGGGATGAATGTGGAACCAAGCCACACGGAGGCACCTGGACGCCCTGCCCCCACCCCGCTGTGCTTGTCCTGGGTTTTCTACACCCCAAAGCAGCCCCCCAGAAGCCCCCCTGCGAGCCCTGTAGAATCCGGAGGCGCCCGCACCAGGCTGGGAACTGGTGGTCCCAGCGACCTCTCCCCTGCACCCTCCCTTCCGGGGGGTGCCCACACCACTCGTGCTCGGTCAGTGTCCCTGGGGGGAAGGGTTCTGCTCACCAACACACACACACGCGCCCACCCCCTGCTGCCACAGACCGGGCGGCCGCCAGCCCCAGCCTTGGGATTCGGGGCTTAGGGGAGCGGGCGCCGCCGCGGGGGCCCCTGCTTCTTTTGAGCCAGAGAGGGGTGCGCAGAGGGCACAGGGAAGCTGCGCTCCCACGAGGCAGCAAGCGAAGGGCATACGCACGGCCCACGGGTGCTTCTTGTCACGCGACCCAAGGAGCTGAAGGGCGGGGCCCTGGGGTCCTCTGGACACCTTGGACAGCACCCAGCTGGCTTTCCACCGCCGCCCAGGGTCACTCTTGCCCCCGGGTGGCCCTAGTGAGAGCCGCGGCCGGGGAGCCAGCCAGAATGGGGTCAGGACCTGGCTTAGTTTTGTGTCCGGGCGTCTGGGTGTCCCCGGCGCACAGCTGCGTCCCCCCCCGGGGGGGGGGCTCGCGCTTCTAGGCCCAGGCAGCGCCTCTGGGTCAGCGGATGTGGAGGCGAGGCTCAGAAGGCGGAGAGGCGAGCAGGGAGCGAGCCGAGGGGAAGCCCCCCACCCCAGCCCACCCCGCTCCCGCCAGTCCCGACTCCGAATTCTGGGCAGCGAGGAGGGCGGGACCCGGCGGCCCAGCGCTGGCGAGGCCGGGAGAGAGCCGGGCTGGCCGAGCCAAGAGTGGGCGGCGTCGCCGGGAGCGCGGCCCGCCCCCGCAGGTGCAGCGCGCAGGCGCACTCCGCGCGCGCCTCCGGTCTGCGCGCCCGCATCCCGGATCCTCCGCCGCAGCGTCAGCGCCGCCGACGCCTCCTCCCTCCCGCGCCCCCTCCCGCCCCTGCGCTGCTCCGGCCGCGGCGCCCGCAGCCCGCGCCGAGCCCCGGCCGCGCGGTGCCATGCTGCCCCGGCGGCGGCGCTGAAGGATGGCGACGCCCGTGCCTCCGCCCTCGCCGCGGCACCTGCGGCACCTGCGGCTGCTGCTGTCCGGCCTGATCCTCGGCGCGGCCCTGCGCGGGGCCTCCGCGGCCGCCGCCGGCCGCCCGGGTGAGCGAGCGCGCTGGGCGCAGGCCGCAAGGCCGGGGGTGGCCGGCGGGGGCCCGGGGTTTCCGGCCCGCAGGCCCCGCAGCTGGCGGCGATGGGGCCCGGGGTTTCCGGCCCGCAGGCCCCCGCAGCTGGCGGCGATGGGGTAAAGAGGCCGGGCCGCGCTGATGGGGCCTCTCCCGGCTCCGGGGAGGTGACCTGAAGTTCACGCCCTTTGGTCTTTGTGTCTGCGGCCCGGGGGTCTTGCCCCGCATCTGCCTCCGTCTCCGTGCGTGTCGCTGGCGTCCCCGGGCGCCGGCTGGCCTGGCCGCCCGCGTCTGCCTGCCCTGCAGGCTCTGAGGACTGCGGGACGCCCCCGCAGCCCGTCCCAGCCTCAGAGTCTTGTTCCGGCTTCCGTGGCCGGGAGGACGCTGGCCTCCCCTCAAGCTTTTCCTACCCCGGAGGGCACCAGCCCTTGTGCGCAGTTCCCGGGGAGTGATGAGCCGGGGTCTGGGGGACAGCGCTCCCCTCCCCCTAGGAGGCTGGATCGGTAGCTGAGCGCAGTTCTCTTGGAGCCCTGCAGGAGAGGTGCTGTCAGCCCATTTCACAGGGCGGGAGACTGAGGCATAGAGGGGTTGAGTCTGCTTGGGGCAGGCTTCCTCCTTGGGCACAGCACTCCGGACGGGAGGTAGGCACGACCAGCCGGGCTCCCAGGGTGGCCACGGGCATGGCGGGGGCCACCTGTGGTGAACCTGGCCCCAGGTGTGGACTGGCACCGCAGCACCTGAGCCTGGTGGGCGGGCACCATTCCTGGTGCTCCGAGCACCGGGCAGGGACTGCCTGGCTCCCCAGGAGCCGGCTGCTGGGTGGGGTCCGGGCAGATCCGCTGGCAGAGGCTTAATGTTTAACTTGTGGGAGCCCCAGGCCGAGCCCACGAGAGCTGGCGGCTGGAGGGTGTGGGCCTGCCGCCGGCCAGGGCCTGGATGCTTGCAGCTTCGAGGCCTGGCGTGTCAGGTGTCCAAGAAGACCAAGCCAGGCCAGCCCGGTCTGGAGAAGCCCATGTCATCCTGGGCCCCAGCAACTGCCTGCGGTGGGGTGGGGTGGGCTGAGGGCAGGGGCCCTGGTTGGCCAGAGATACTGCCCCCAGGAGGTCCCCCCGGCTGTGCCAAGCCGGACGCCAGGCCTGGGCAGGTTCCTCAGCTCAGCACCTCCATCCCAGCCCCGGATGGGGCCTGATTTTAGACCCCAGGCCAGAGGCAGGGACGTGTGGTTAGGAACCAGGTCTGGCCGTGGGCTCCCCGCACTGCCCAGCCCCGGACTGACCCCAGCCAGGGTCCTGGGCCTGCGGCAAGTGAGGCCGCCCCACCCCACCCTGGATCTCCCAGCCCAGAGGCCCCTGGGAGCGCTGGGGCCAGGCAGAGGCTTGTAGGGGTGGGACTCTGGCTTTGGGGGAGCCCTGATGTGTTTGGGGTGGGGGGCTAGCATCATCAACTCGGGGGTCTCCAGTGTGAAGGGGGGATCAGGCTTGCTCTGGGGCACTCTGCGGCCAGAGGCTGGATGAGGCCTGAGGGAGGACTCTGGGGACAGGGTGGGGGCAGGGTGGCTCTGATAAATCTTGGGGCTGTTTACTTCCTGGTCTGAGCCCTGGACGTCGGGAGGAAGGGCCTGCCCGAACAATGGCCGGAGTCAGGCCTGGCCTGGCCAGCTCTGCGGGGGAGGAGGAGGGCGGCACGCAGTGCAGAGGCCAGGCCGGGGGGCTCTGACCCGTCCTGCCGTCCGCCTCCTTCCCAGATGTGGCCACTTGTCCCCGGAGCCTGGACTGTGCTCTGAAGAGGCGGGCGCGATGCCCGCCGGGTGCCCACAGCTGCGGGCCCTGCCTGCAGCCCTTCCAGGAGGACCAGCGCGGGCTCTGCGTGTCCAGGGTGCGCCGGCCCTCTGGTAGGTGGTCGCTGGCACAGGAGGCGGGCGGGAGGGCAGTCCCTCCTCCCTCTGCCCCTAGGGAGCCCCGCCCTCTGGCAGCGGCCACCGGGTCCGCAGCGCCTTGTGGGGTGCTGGGGCCCGAGGCCGGGGGGACTCAGGTCACTCTCTTAAGTGGTTTCCTGGTCCATTCCAGATGGTGCCAGCCCAGGGCCCGCAGCTAGGGCCGGGGTGACCCGGCAGGAGAGGGGGTCAGAGTTCCCCAGCATGGGCCCCCAAGGTCTGCCAGAACCCGTGCGGGGCCCCCTATTCTGTCTACCCAGCACCTGCTGACCCCGCAGCCTGGAGTCTGTCCGGGTGGCCGGTGGCTGAGTGGCCCCAGGTGTGCTGGGGCCGTGGCTCCCTGGGGGGGCGTGGCAGGTGTGCAGGGGCCGTGGCTCCCTGGGGGGGCGTGATCACAGGGGAGACACAGACGTGGCCGGCAGGTGCCTGCCTGGAAGCTCTGGACTGAGGGATCCCCAGTGGGCATCGGTGGGCCCAGCTCCCAGCCCCGCGGCTGCCTTTCCTTTCTCTGACCTCCTGAGGGGGCCTGGACGCTGGGTGTGCTTTGCCCCTCCCTCCCCCGTCGCGGCCCCCTCGTGGCTTGGGGAAGGGCAGGCTGTGCTGCCCCAGAGCCCTGTGCAGGCCACTCCCTCCCCTCCTCACCCCTGGTCCTCACACACCCTCAGCGCCGCCGCCGGCACTCTCACCTGCTCTCCCTGGGGCTGCTGGACTCAGGGGGACTCCCCCAGTTGTCTCTGGGGTGCAGCGGGGCCCACACCAGGGCCTGGAGGGAGAGGCCAGGCCCGGGGCAGCTGATGGCCCTCGCCTCCGCAGGGGGGGGCCCGCCGCAGCCCAGACTGGAGGAGGAGATCGACGTCCTGGCGGAGGAGCTGGCCCGGAAGGAGGCCGGGCACTCGAGGGCCACAGCCTGGCCCCTGCCCGAGGGGCCTCCACGGCCGCTGGAGCTGGGTGAGACCCCTGCTCCACAGCCCTGCCCCTTTTGCCCTCGCCCCCCAGTCCTGCCTAACCTGGTCTCTCTCAGCAGCCACCCTGGTGTTCTCCGAGCTGGCTCAGGGACCCAAACCCGGCCTCCCCGCCACTCGGGCGGCCCCCACCCCCACGCCCCGCGGCCCCCTGGGCTCCCCTGTGTCTTCTGGGCCAGTTCACATGTCCCCACTGGAGCCCCGCGGCCGGCGGGGTGACGGGCTTGCCCTCGGTAGGTGGCACAGATGGCAGACAGGGAGGCAGGTGTGGGGGGAGGCAGGTGTGGGGGGGAGGCGGGTGTCGGGGAGGGGAGGCAGATGTGGGGGAGGCAGGTGGGGGAGGGGAAGGCAGGTGGGGGGAGGCGGGTGTCGGGAAGGGGAGGCAAGCCGCTTCTCACCGCGCCCCTCCCGCAGTGCTGATCCTGGGCTTCTGCGTGGCAGGCGTGGCCGCCCTGGCCGTGGCTGTCCTGTGCTGGTGCAGGTAAGCGCGCGTGGGCGGGTGGCCGGGGGCGACCCCTGCACAGGCCTCGGGCCCACTGCCCGCTGTCCGCAGGCTGCAGCGGGAGACCCGCCTGGCTCAGAAGGTGGACTACACGGCCCCGAAGGCGCCCGGATCGCCCGCCACGCCGCGGATCTCGGTGCGTGTCCCCGCATTCGCGCCCCGCCCCGCGCCCCCACCCCGCCGCCGCTTGACGCGCCCCTCGCCCACAGCCCGGGGACCAGCGGCTGGCGCACAGCGCCGAGGTCTTCCACTACCAGCGGCAGCGGCAGCAGATGCGCAGCCTGGAGCGGTGAGCGCCCGCCCCCGCCTCGGTCTGACCCCCCCCGGCCCTCCACCCCCGCCTCCCCCACGGCCCCCCTACCCGCCCCCTCTGGTCTGACCCCCCAGTTCGTCCCACCCCCTCCCCCGGCCCCGTCTCTAACCCCCCAGCCCCTTCTTGCCCCGCCTCCTCCCTGGCCACGCTCCGGTCAGACCCCCTCCAGTCCCGCCCCTTCTGACCCACCCCCCACCTCAGTCTGACCCCCGCAGCCTCTCCCCTAGCCCCCACCCCCCACCCCCGTCCCTGCCGCGGCCTCACGCCCGCCACCCCCGCCTTCCACGGCTTCTAGTCCCGGCCACCCGCCCGCACCCGGGTGGGGGAGGTCCCAGCGGTCCCGCCCCCCACCCAGGCATAAAGAGCCGGCCAAGGAGCTGGACTCGGCCTCTTCGGACGAGGAGAACGAAGACGGCGACTTCACGGTGTACGAGTGCCCGGGCTTGGCCCCGGTGAGTGCGGGCAGCCCAGGCGCCCCCTCCCCTCCGCGGCAGCGGCCTAACCACACCTCTGCCTAACCACACCTCTGCCTAACCACACCTCTGCCTAACCACACCTCTGCCCGCACACCTCTGCCGGCAGACCGGGGAGATGGAGGTGCGCAACCCGCTGTTCGACCACGCCTCGCTGCCGGCGCCCCTGCCCGGGCCGCGCCCCCCACCCGCGCCGCAGTGACCCAAGGCCGCCGCTGGAGACCGCCGGGCCCACGGGTGGGGAGGGACCCCGGGTGGGGAGAGGCAGGGCCCGTGTTTCTCATTAAAAAATCAGGTTCCGAGGCTCTCTCGTGGCTTGCGTGTGGGGGCTGGGCTTGGGGGGAGGGGCTGGCCCTGGGCGCCTCTGTCGGCTGTCGGAGTCCCCCCTGCGGATGGGGCGTCCCAGGACGGGCTTTCACCTCTGGGCTGCAGGTGCCATTTGGAGGTGCTTGTGCACAGAGTGGGGGGCTGTTCCCTGTTCAGGGAGACCCTCCCTGGAGGGCAGCCCCGGGACCCCTCAGGACACTTCCCCTAGTTGGGGGAGGGGAGAAAGGCACTGTGGGGGGGACCCCTCCCGTGTTGCCTCAGGAGCTGGGTGTGGGCACTGTGCCTCCATTGGCACGTGGGGCTGGGGCTGGGAGGAACAGCAGGCAGCCGTGGGCTGGGGGCTTCCTCCTGGTACAAAACAGACCCTGGGCCCCTGCAGCAAACACAGCTGAGGGGCACAGGCAGGTGGCGGGGAGGGGGGCACCTGGGGCCGGGGCTGCCCACGGTGCCCCTGAGCTGAGGGCCAGGGGAGTGCAGACGGGAGGGCACGGAGTGGACAGAGGTGCCCAGCTCGAGAGCAGGGTGCAGGGACCAGACCGGGTCGGGCTCGGAAGCCCCTTGGGGGTTGGTGGCCAAGGGGCCCAGGCTATCCGGGGTGGGGGACAAGCCCAGTTTGAGGCACAGGGTCTGGGGAGTGGCAGGGCAGGCTGGTAGAAGAGGGGCCACCCCTGTGCAGAGCTAAGGTTTGCCCTAAGCAGGATGTGTTGGGGGCCAGAATAGATCCAAGCCAGGAAGCCCCCGTCCCTGGGGCTGTGCACTCCTCGCCTGTGACTGGCCCCGCCCCCGCCCCAGGACGTGGTGGGAGGGCAGGGCCGGCACCAAGCACCCACCGGGCCCACCCATGTCCCTTGCTGCCTAACAGCCATCAGGGAGGTGGCACCGACAGCCCCAGAGACAGGAACCAGGGACCCCCACGGGGCTGGCCCACTCGTCTGTCCACCTCTGCTGGCCTGGCCTGGGGTCTGAGGGTGACCCCGTCTGTTCCATCTTCTGGGGGCCCAAACCTGTCCTGGGGTCCTTGGTGCCCATGCTTAGAGGCCTTGGCAAGGAGGGGCACCTCCCCACAGTAGCTGGGACCCCCGCAGGCCTGGGCTGGGGCGGGCCACCCCCAACTGGCTCAGGCCCCCGTGTGACTCGGGCCCCAGCTCCCCAGCTGCCTTTGGCTCCAGTGGCCCCCATGTCCTTAACCCTGAGTCTGCAGTGACTTGGAAACCCCAAATCCTGGGTGAGGGGCCCTGGGTGAGGGGCTCCAGCCCAGGAGGAACCCGCCTCCCCATTCCACCCCCCTTGCTGAGTCCACCTAAGCCTCCGCAGGCCTGGCCTCCCCCAGCCCAGCGCCCCATCCACCCCTTCCCACCGGAGAAAGCCCGTCAGCGCCCCGGCCACTTCCCTGGCCTGGGTCCTTGAGCTGGAGGGTGACCTCCCACACCCCAGCATGGACGGTGGTGGACACCCCGCCACCTGGAGACGCCCCCAACCCGGCAAGGCACGGGCAAGACCACACCCCCTGCCTTTGCACCGCGGAGCTGAGCCCCCACCCCCACTCGGGCGGCTGCCACCGGTTCCAAATCCTCCAGCTGTGGTGCCTCCCCCTCAGCTGTCACGAGGGGTGCATCTTGGTGTGGAACGGAAGTGGGCACATGCAAAACCTTTCAGTGGGCTGCACAGGTCCCTGGAAGCCTACCCCTGCACACCCCGGAGCTGGCCCGAGAGCCACACCTGGACCAGGCCAAGGACGCCCAGTGCTCCGCCACCCTGGGCTTGATGGGAAAAGGGCCCACCTGCTGCCCCCACGGCACACTGTATCTGTGTGCCCAGATGGCTCAGAAGCCCCTGGCTTCTGCCAACGCCCTAGTACCACCCCCCTGGGCTGTGCCCTCCCCTGGCAGTCCCCTTGGTCACAGGCCAGCCCCCAAGGCACCCACCTTCCCCAGGGTGAGCACAGAGGGTCCCACAGCCTCCAGCTGCATGCTCCCCGCCGGCCGCCAGGGGGCCCTCGCGACCCGCCTCTGGACGTGGCCCTGCCCAAGCCACGGGCGGGGCGGGGGGGGGGGGGGACAAGCAGCCAGGCTCTGGGCTGAGGCTGGGCACCCCATGCCCAGCTGCCCTCACCTGGGACAGGGCTGGAAGGCTGAGAGCCTGGCCGGGACAGAGCGCCTGTCCCCTCCCCGCCATGTCACAGGCTGCCACCCGCCTGGGCCCCACAGGCCCCACGGCTGAGTCAGGAGGCCTGGGTGGGGGCGGGGCAGCCGGATGGGCACCCCCTGTGCCCCAACTTTCCTTCTGAGTCAGCTCTCCCACCTCTGTCATTTCCTTTCTCGTTTTGACCCATTTCTGTGCCAAACCTCGGAGCCCCACTCCCCAGCTCACCGGTTCCCATGACTGCGTGCAATGGGGGATACTGGCCAGGGCGTGGGCGGCTCCCCGAGACCACCCAGGAAGGGAGCGGGCTGTGCGGGCAGACGGGTGAGGCCTGTGGCAGGCTCCGGCCGGGCTGGCAGCGCAAACAGGAAGGATGGCAGGTGCTGGCAGCCAGAGGCCCGGTCACCCGGCTGGGGCCTTCCGGCAGGCCCCTGCCACCTGCTGGGCACGCCGCCTGGGGAGAAGATGTGGGGGAAAGCGAGGCCTGGAGACAGGGTGTGGCTCCTCTGGTGCCCCAGGGGTGCCCACTGGGGTGAGAGACACTGAGCCCAGGGTCCCCTTCACAGGGGCGGCTGTGGGGGTGCCTGCCCTCGGCGGAGCCGGCGGCGGGAAGCGAGGCGCTAGGGGCTGCCAGCTGGTTCGTGCCGGCTCCCATGGCCTCCCTCCCCTCTCGACATTGCACAAGCTTCCGCCGAAGCCGGGGTTATGCAGTGCCGTGGGGGTGGCCCAACTGCCACTCTCTCCCAGCCTTGCCTGTGTCCCCTCTGCGGGTGTGCTGGCGGCCCCAGCGGGGCGTGGGAGCCGGGCCCCGGGGTCCCTGGGCGCGGTGCTGGCAGCAGGCCAACGGTGGTTCTTGGCTGTGTTCCTGAGTGCGGCCAGGCCTCACCACGCCGGGGCTGCAGCTCGCGGGGACCCTGCAGGGTCACCCCGCCTGACTGGTCCTGGCGGCCACCGCTCCTCGGGGCTCCATCTGGCCCCAGGGCTGGCTGGGGGGAAGTGGACGGAATCCGGACTCAGGCTGGGGCCAGCCTTCCTGTTTCTGGAGCAGGCGCCTTCCCCTGCCCGCCCAACGGCGCCGGGGACACCAGGACCCCTTCCCTTTCCACCCTGGAAAGCCCCTCTGCTGCGGCCTGGGGGAGGGGACCAGCAGCTCCTGCCAGCCCCCAGGGCCCAACCCCCAGTCTGGCCAGGGAAAGATGCAGCAGCCCCCAGCCCACCTGGGCCGTGCTCGTCTGCCCCGGCCGACCCCAGCTCGGCCCCATCTCTCTGGGGCTGGGCCCTGGGAGAGGCAGGTCCTTGAGGCGGCCGGGGTAGGTGAGGTGGGCCCGTGGGAGCCTGAGCGCCGCGCGTCTGCAGTCCGGTGAGTGCAGGGCTCCTGCGGCCACGCGTGGTGGGGGGCTGGGGTCGGCCGGGCCTGGGCTGCCCGGGGAGGAAGCGGGGCTGGGGGTGCCCTTTGGGGGCCACACGTGATCTGCACTGCCTTCCTCCTGTGGGGGCCGGGGGGCCCCTCTCCCGACCTGCCCAGCTGGCCAGCTCGCGGCCTGTCCAGGGCCAGCGAGGGTGGGCCGGGGCGCCCTCCTGCAGCGGACTCCCTCCCACCAGCGGGAGGGCTGGAGAGAGCCGAGGGTGGGGGTGGCCACGGGGCGGGGCGGCCGCAGGAAGGCCCTGGCTCCCTCACCTTGCGCGGACGAGAGGAGCGTGCTTCCCTCCCCCGCCGGGCGCTGCCGTGATTGCAGGATCTCAGGTTTTGGGGCGACTGCTTCTGCGGGGCTGTGGATGAGTAATGCGGGTGAGTGTCCCCGGGGAAGCGGGGGGCGGCAGTGCGCCAGGGCCCGCGGGTGCCCCTGAGCCTGGTGCCACCGCCTCTTCTCCCTCCTCCTCCTGCAGGGCTCAGCTCCACCCGGAGGCGGCGGGCCTGGGGGGCCCTGGTCGGCGTGGCCCTGCTGCTGGCCCTCTGGCTCCTGTGGCTGCTGGGGCCAGCCCCCGGGGGTGCCCCAGGCCCCCAGCCCACGGTCACCATCCTCATCTGGCACTGGCCCTTCACAGAGCAGCCCCCGGAGCTGCCCCACAACACCTGCACCCCCTACGGCTTGGCCCACTGCCGGCTGAGCACCGACAGAAGCCTGCTTGCCAGTGCCGACGCCGTGGTCTTCCACCACCGCGAGCTGGAGACCCGGCGCTCCCGCCTGCCCCTGGCCCAGCGGCCACGAGGGCAGCCCTGGGTGTGGGCGTCCATGGAGTCCCCCAGCCACACCCACGGCCTCCATCGCCTGCGGGGCGTCTTCAACTGGGTGCTGAGCTACCGGCGGGACTCCGACATCTTCGTGCCCTACGGCCGTCTGGAGCCCCGGCTGGGGCCTGCACCCCCGCTGCCGGCCAAGAGCAGGCTGGCCGCCTGGGTGGTGAGCAACTTCCAGGAGCGGCAGCCGCGGGCCAAGCTGTACCGGCAGCTGGCGCCTCACCTGCAGGTGGACGTGTTCGGCCGCGCCAGCCGGCGGCCGCTCTGTGCCGACTGCCTGCTGCCCACCGTGGCCCGATACCGCTTCTACCTGGCCTTCGAGAACTCCCAGCACCGCGACTACATCACCGAGAAGTTCTGGCGGAACGCGCTGGCCGCCGGCGCCGTGCCCGTGGTCCTGGGGCCCCCGCGGGCCACCTACGAGGCCTTCGCACCTGCGGACGCCTTCGTGCACGTGGACGACTTCGGCTCGGCCCTCGAGCTGGCCGCCTTCCTCACGGGCATGAACGAGAGCCGCTACCAGCGCTTCTTCGCCTGGCGCAGCCGGCTCCGCGTGCGGCTGTTCAGCGACTGGCCGGAGCGCTTCTGCGCCGTCTGTGCCCGCCTGCCGCACCTGCCCCGTGGCCAGGTCTACGAGGACCTCGAGGGCTGGTTCCGGGCCTGAGTCCTGCAGCTGGGCGCGGGTGGGAGAGCTGGGTGCTGAGATGCAACCGCCGGCAGCCAGCGGGAGGCTGGGGTCAGAGGCGGCGGGGCGGGGGCGGGAGGACGAGTGTGGTGAGAGCAGAGCGCGCTGGGGCGGGCGGTGTGCAGAGCGCTGAGGCGGGCCAGAGGGCGGGCCGCTGAGGACCCCCCTCACCGGAGGCAGGGCCCTGAGGGCTGGGACAGCCCAGCCAGAGGTGGGCGGGGTGCCCTGGACATCGACCTCCGTCAGCCGAGCCCGGGCGCGCTGCCGTCCGTAGCCGGGTCCCCCCGGGGGGGGGGGGCACTGGACAGCAGAGCCGAGCAGGCGTCTCAGGTGGGCTGTGCGGGGGAGCCGAGCCCCCTCTGCCTGCCTCCCCTCCCCGGCACCCCCTCCGTCCGGACCCCGGGACCTGCCCCTCCCCCTCCCACTCCCTTCAGCTTTGCCCGAGAGGCTCAGGCAGGTGCTGGAACCCAGAGGGGGCGAAAGGCACCCTGGGCAGCGGCCCTGCCCGCAGGGAGGAAGCCGGGCTGGCTCTCGGCAGGAGGAGGCTGCAGGCAGGAAGCCCCTCACTGCTGGGGGCTTCCTGCCCTGGCCCCGAGGGCTGCCTGGGGAGAAGGTTGTGGCCTGTGGCCGGCACTGGTGCCCTGCCCACCTTCCCCGGGGGGTCTGAGGCTGGCACCCTGCAGGAGGGGAAACAGGCCAGCCTGCCCTCTGCTGTCAGAGGGAGGAAACGCACCCCAGTCCCAGCCTGGCTGCGGGGTACCCAACCAAGCTCCTTGTGCCCAGGCCAGACGCCCTGGACACGGGGAACAGGTGCCGTCCACGAGAGGGACGGCCTGCGTCTCCCCAGGCGCCTGCTGGGCCCCTCTGAGTCCAGGGGGTACCTCCCCTTCCTCCTCTGCTCACGGAGGAGCCGCCCACACTGTCTGCAGTGGGTTCCCCGCGCTGTCCACTCTGAACGGGAGCTGAGCGTCCTCACGCAGCAGCAGGACCTGGCCACCCTCAAGTGTCCAGTTCGACCCCGCCCCGAGCCTCCGTGGCCTCCCAGTGACCCCAGCTTGACCAGCGGCATGCACCCTGCTGACCCCACACCCCACATGCTGCGGTGACTCCCCCCCGCCACGCCACACACCCAGGAACTCCTGCCTGCTTGCTTATAAAACCCGATTAACACTCCCCGTGTGTGCGTGTGTGTGTGCTGGGGGAGGTGGTGCTGTGGCATAGAGGGTGAAGCCGCCACCAGCAGCAACACCACAAGGGTGCTGGTTCGAGTCCCGGCTGCTCCACTTCCCATCCAGCTCCCTGCTAATGCACCTGGGAAAGCAGCAGAAGACGGCCCAAGTGCCTGGGCCCCTGCACCCACGTGGGAGACCCGGAGGAAGCTCCCCGCTCCTGGCCTCAGGTGGGCCCAGTTCTGGTCACGGCAGCCATTTGGGGAGTGAACCAGCGATGGAAGACCTCTCTCGCCTCTGCCTGTGCCTTTCTGTAATTTTAAAAAGACTAAGACTCAGCCGGCGCTGCGGCTCACTTGGCTAATCCTCTGCCTGCAGCACCAGCACCCCGGGTTCTAGTCCTGGTCGGGGCGCCAGATTCTGTCCCGGTTGCTCCTCTTCTGGTCCAGCTCTCTGCTGTGGCCCGGGAGTGCAGTGGAGGATGGCCCAAGTGCTTGGGCCCTGCACCCCATGGGAGACCAGGAGAAGCACCTGGCTCCTGGCTTCGGATCGGCACAGCGCCTGCCATAGCGGCCATTGGGGAGTGAACCAATGGAAGGAAGACCTTTCTCTCTGTCTCTCTCTCACTAACTCTGCCTGCAAAAAAAATAGACTAAGACTCCCCGTGGGAGACCTGCTTGGATAAGGCTTGGGCCCAGTAAAGTTGCTGGCCCAGGGGCCCTGTAACCCCCCCTGCCCCAGGGGCCCTGTTCCCCCCCCCGCCCCAGGGGTCCTGTCCCCCACCACTCCACCCAGGGGCCCTGCCCCCCCCTGTAATCCCAGCAGAGCCACCCGTAGCCGGGTCCGGTGTCACTTGGCCGCCCAGGGTCTCCTTTACGAAGGGCACAGGGGTGGGCGGGTGGTCGTCCCATGCCCGGCACCAGCACGGTTAGTCAGGGGCCTGGAGGGCGCACAGGATGTGGGGTGGCCGGGCTGGGGGCCGCGGGGCCTCCTAGGCTTTCCCCCTGGTACCGGAAGGGGTGAGCAGGGCGTCTCGGGTTAGACAGGGGCCTGGGCACGTCACTTCCACCCCGACCACATGGAGGGGGACATGAGGAGACCCCTCCCCAGACACAGGACAGCCTACAGCCGCAGGCAGGGAGGGGGACATGAGGAGACCCTCCCCACATACAAGACAGCCTAGCCGCAGGCGGGCCACCGTGAGGAGACCCCTCCCCTACACACACACACACACACACACACACACACACACACACACACACACACACACACAGACACGCGCGCGCGGAGCCCCTCCGCCTCAGGCCGGGACTCCCGCAGGGCGGGGGCGGGCGCCCCCTGGCGGCGCGGCGCGCGGCGCCTGTGAGCGCGGGCGGGGCGGGCGCGGGGCGGGCGCGGGGCGCTGCGGCCGGGCCGCCGGGGCGGAGCCAGTGCGGGGCCGGTCCCCGACGCCCGAGCGCCCCGCCCCCGCGCGGGCGATGCCGAGCGGCGCGGCTGGCGGCGGGGCCGGCGCTGAGGCGGCCGGAGAGCGGCCCGCCATGGGTTTCCTGCACCAGCTGCAGCTGCTGCTCTGGAAGAACGTGACGCTCAAGCGCCGCGGCCCGGTGAGCCCGCGCACGTGCGGCCCGCGGGCGCGCGCAGACCCCGGGCGGCGCGGCGGGGCCCCCGCACGGCCCTGCGGGCGCTGGGGGCTCGGGGGCGGGGGCGCGCGGGCCGGGCCGCCGGCGATCTCCGTGCGCGGCTGAGTCACGGGCCGGCCGCCTTGCGCAGCGCGCTCCCCGGGGCGGCCGCGGGTGGGGGCAGGTGGCCCCGGGCCCCGGCTGGCGGGAGGGAGGCCGCGACTGGGCCTGGACAGAGCGCTGGCCTTGGGGGAGGGGGGCTGCGTCCCGCCGGAGGCTGCGTGTCCGGGGCCCGGCCCCACGGAGCCGGTGCAGGGACCTGTCCCTGCCTCCTCCCGCGCCCCTCCGCCCTTGGGCCGGGCGCACGGTGATCCCGGCGGCACCCCTCGGGCGCGTCCGCCAGCCTCTGCTGGCCCTCGCTCCTCCGCGATGTCCTTCGGGGCCAGCCAGGCCACCCTGAATCCCAGCGCCCAGTCGTCCGCAGGGGCCAGGTCTCTGGCTGGTTCCCCTCCCCACCGGCTCCCCTGGGGGCTGAGGGTGCAGGACTCAGCCGCACTGGGTGACAGGTCCCTGGGGAGAGGCGCGCTGGGGGGTGGGCACGTGTCCTCAGAGGAGAGTGCTGGGCCCCTTGGGGCTTCTGAAAGGGCCCGGGGGGTTTCTCGGACCGGGTCCCAGGCGGGTGGGGGGCCGAGGAGGGCCTGGGCCCCGGGACCCCTTGGGTTCACCAGCTCCTGCCTGTGTTCCTGAGAGGGGCTGTGGGCAGGTGGGGTGGACGGCGTCCCCGTGGCCTGGCAGCATGGCCCTGGGCACCTGGGCCTGGCCGGGAGCCAGGATCGGGGACACTCCCTGTCCTGGGTGCCTGGGCTTGGTGTCTGG